GTGAATATATAAACAAGAAAAAAGAGTTATTTAAGACAAAAATTAGTTGATAAATGAAAGCTTTAATAAATAATAGATGAAAAAAAACACCAAATTCGACAGTCAAGTCTTAATAAAGTGTTTCGAAAATAGTATATATTCCATTTAAAACAAACACTAGTCTGAATTAAAACTCATATGTACATCATGAAGTTTTTTTAATATAATCAATGCATTGAAATTATCCTTCAACAGTCCATAAACCAATGCAATACTCTCAAAGAGAGAAGAAAATATATCGCGAAAATTATTGTCCGATGTTACATGCTTTTCAAACAATTCTTTCGCTTGTACAAGGTTTTTTAATGCTTGAGAATAGTCATTTTTCTTTATAAAACATAGACCCATTGAATACAATGTATTGACACGTTGAAGTGGTGAATGACCAGATTGATTATCTAATTGATTTTGAAAATATTTCAGTGATGTTTCGATATCAAACTCTGATATTTGTCTATCATTTGCATCAATTAGATCTGCTTGTTCTTGATAAATAATGGCATCTTCATAATTATTTTGTTCTAGATAGATATCAAATATTTTTCTACATAGTCTAGCCATATCACGAGGGTGAACATTCGAATTCATAAAAATTTCTAATGCTTGTTTTTATAATATGATAATGCAGTTTCAACATTATCTCTTGTTCTCCATACATCACCAATATGAATATAAATTTCACCTCTTAATATATGATTATCATCTAATGATGATAATGCAATATCATAGTGAAATAAAGCATTATCAAATTCAAAAAGATGAAAATAATTATAACCAATTAGAATAATAAGAACAATACGTAGTTGATCATCAATAAATTCTTCATTGTGTAAAAGTTCTGTATAGTATTCTATAACTTTTTCATAATCACCTAAAATACTAAACAGATAATAGAAATTAATACTAGTCACATTTGCCATTATATCTTTCGATAAAAAGCCTTTTCCTCTTAATATTGTGCAATATTTTCTTAATAGAACCCAATCATTTATTTTCATAACAAAATGATCCCAACATGTTATAGAAGTTAATAGCTCTATGATACCATCCATAAATTGTTCTATCTGTTCGACTGTTTCGTTACATAGAGTAAGTTTAATAATCCATGTGGAATCATTTTCTTTCTCTACAGAATTAATACGAAAAACTGCACCAGCAAAGAATAAAATTTCTTCTTCATCTAGTATTGAGCTAAACTGAGAAATATCAGCAAATGGATGAAAAATATTGTCACTTGCACTTATAGTGTTAATTTCAAATATAACTCCAACTTCAGCACCAGCTGTAAATGTACGAGCAATATTTTCGTTACGTGATGTTGACATAAGTGTGTTTATTGATATTAGACGTCCAATATTGGACTGCAAATTCTCTAAATCATTTTTACCAAGAATTTGTCCTCGATAAACAGTCGAATAATTTTTCTGTTGTTGTTGCTGTATCGATAATTCCTTGAGTTTTTTATATAATAGTATGATAAAATATCGAAATTTGCAAATTAAATCAATATTTCGCTTACGAAATGCCACATTTACAAGTCGATAGACAAATGAGTCTTTTGTATACCAATTTAATACAGTATCGTATGTACAGTTCTTATCGAAATCATTAATTGAATTTAATTGAATTTGATTATTTGAATGTTCTAGTTGACATTGTTCTATCATATTTTTTTTCAATCTATTCATATCTATATCAGGATCATTAACAAGATAATGGATAAATGCTTGATTCCATAAAAGTGTATGTGTATTTCTATCTAAACTCATTAAAGACTGTTCAGTTTTAATGTCATGTAAACGCGAAATAGTTATTGGTAAATCATGTCTATATGTTAATAGGATATCATGACGTAATTGTTCAATTAATGTTCGTTCATCTGTAAAAATATTAACCAGTTTCGAATATTTTTGTTTTTCATCTTGTATATTTTGAAGATTTCTTTGCACAACATAAATTGATTGAATTTGAAGAAGATTATTGAAATACGATAAATATTCAAACAATTCGATTAAAACGAGTATGATTATGCGTTCACTTTGAAGACTTTCTACATAACTAGAGCAAGTTTCAAACGAATCATATTTCTCTAAGTAATCAACAAAATGTGCTAATTCATTTGGAAAATTATTATCCAAAGAAAACCAAACCACTCTAAAATCATCATGATTTTGTATTTCATCTATTTTTGTTAATGATAATTTGAATTCAGTCATGTTAATTCATATAGAATGTTTTTTTTCTTTAAATACAAAATTTAGACTCAATAAGAAGAAAGTAAAGTAATATTCTTATAGACTTAAATTTAGAAAGAAGAAAGGATATCCTGCCTTTTAGCCATCGGTACCGATATAGAGCGCTAATAGAGACAGTTTCTGTGAGCCCAATATTTTCTCACTACTTTAGGATGCGACGATTATGGTGACACCGATGCGTCGTCAACTAGTGTGTCGCGCATCGGCATTCTCAGTTCACAGTGTGTGGTAAAGTGGTGCATCGATCTAGAGTTGGTATGACAGGTAAACAGTGAGATTGAGAGATAAAATTTAAAGTCCAAATTCATTTTTCGATCAGAAGAGGTCGATTTTGCGGACAAATAGTTCCTCATAAAATTTGATCAAAGGTCTTCGGAGTCAAGAAATCGAAATTTATAAATCTTTCCTCGAAATATTCGAGTTTGAATGTTTCCGGCAAACCATACTTAGATTCAGATCTCTCGATTCAGAAAACCTTTCCATCAAACTATAGAGTTAGATATTATTTTTGGTAGAAATAGCCTCTCTTTATTGAAAAAGCAAGCATACACGTTTTCTATTATTCATTACTCTGATAATAAATAATGACACTGTCACCATTACCAAGTAAATGGTAATGGTAAGTAACCTCTTTTAGTAGTGGACCAGTGCACCGTCTCACCGTACTACTAGTGCCATCGTTGTATTGGCACACTGATGAGCATGATGCATTCTTTTTTTCGCACTTGATACATTACTAATAGCTTTTTACGCAAAAGACCAGCCTGACGTATGGTGTAGGTGTGGGTATGAAAGATGGAGAGAAGACCCACACCCACACCCACACCCACACCCACACCCACACCCACACCCACACCCACACCCACACCCACACCCACACCCACACCCACACCCACACCCACACCCACACCCACACCCACACCCACACCCACACCCACACCCACACCCACACCCACACCCACACCACCTACACCCTCCATAATTGGATAGTATAAAGGTTCCAATTGTGTTTCGAACAGCATGACTATCAATCGTACAGATCTAGACTCTATCTGAGAAACTATTTATTCGTGTAGGAATTTTCTCTTTAGGTAACTGTATAAAAGACGACAAACAAAAGAATTTTATTATCATTCACTATTTATGGATTTTGAGAATAGGACAATTGTGTTTCTATGTTTCGATTTTAACTTAAAATGCCAGTGCCGTTCTACTTTGAAATTGAGGTGAAAGGGGTTTTCTTTCCATTCTATTGATGAATTCTGCTAATAGGATATTATTTGTTCTTATGCAGAGAAGATATTGACCTAGTCTATATAGTAATCTAAAACATTATTTTCTGTTTGTCAAACAGAACAAAAATGACCATAAGCGTATTTTGAAAAAAACTCAAAGGGTTAAGCAATATGATATGAAAGGATCTTTATATTTCTCTACGATAAACATATTTAACTGAATACCCACACTCACACAACAAAGTACTTCGAAAATTTCATACTTTGTCTCAGGAAAAATGTTTTCCAGTAACTCGAAGGATATCAAGAAGAAAAGTAGCACAATAAGGAAAAAAAAGAGTGATTTTTTATAAAAAAATACAGTTTACTTGCCAATAACAATAGTCGAACTGTTAGCCGAACTCTATTAAATACAACAAAGCAAAACAAGTACTGGCATTTAAGCGCTCTTTGTTTTCGTTAAGACTGAAGCAATCGTCGATATTAGATTATATATCCGTCGTATATGTAATAGTAATAAAACGAAACAGCCATGTATCCCTATTTTTTTTGTAGATAACGACAGATGTTTTCGTTCTGTTTTGTTGTTTCAACTTCAGTAGGCAGTCATAAAACAGAGAAAGAGTCAAGTAATAATAGTTAGTAATCAAGTGCGCAACTTCTTTCCAACTTTGCAGGTAAGCTTTCTCTTAATCCGTATCTCACTCTCCAAACATAAGTTTTAAGCCATAAATTTAGTTTTTTTAATATTTTTTCCAACTTCAGGGTATGAGGTGTGCGTCTGGATGATACTGTGGAGTATGGGTGTGGGTATATATATTAATTTCATTCACATCCACACCCATGCCTATCTCAGCTAAGATTGATGGCGTATTGCTTAATGGTCTCTTTATCACTGAGATTTTTCCCAATTAGAATTCAAACTCGTGCTGGAGATCCAACAGTTATTCGAACAAATCTTGGATATGGGTGTAAAAGGATAGGATACTCACACCCACCCTCAAGATAATTGTTAAATTTCAAACAAATATTGGCGAGACAATGGCTCGAACAGTGCCGGTAAACTGCAGTTTACCGAGAAAAAAACTAGTGATTTACAGTGATTTACCGCGATTTATTCCAGTTCACTGGACAAAACCGTCGGTTTTGGGAGCCGGTAACCGGACCGATAAAACCGCGATTAACCTCCGATTTTTATCGCATCGAGGATAATAAAGACAATAACCAATTATTAAACAATAGAATGCAAATTGAGTCAAATCATTCGGATAGACATAACCATCGAGAAAATGATAGAAAGCACTCTAAGCAACACTTATTACATTCGATTGAATCAATTCGTCATAAATAAAATTAATTAATGCGAACAGAGAGACAACAGGCCGGTCATTTGCAAGGAGATTTGCTCTGTACCGTATTGATCCCATATTGTCAAAATAGATTTTCATTGAACGATGCAGATCGATGACAAGACAATGATCCGCAATGATAAAAGAAACATTCCCAGAATTGATTCTCTCTTCTTCGTCGATTGGTAAAACAAATCTTGACCGAGATAAATCAGAAGAAGGAATGAACAACCATTGAAATGAATAAGTACCAAGAGTGAGATGAGTTTAAAAAAAACTATATCGAAGAGTTCAAAACAATCATTCGTACCACTTGTCCACGAACATATATTTGATGTCAATTCAATGCAACCAGATGGGCATGTCTTAACGAGTTGGTTATTTTACCTATTGCGCTATCTGATTTTCTTTCTGTGTAACGAAAAATTCTCATTGGAACATACTCATCACTACGAATCTTACCGAACAACGAACATGCTCGTTATTGTATTGATAAGCTATGCTATTAACATTTTCATCGTAGAGGTACCTGATGACACTCGATAGAACAGAAAGATCTGTTTTGTGGATGGCATCTATTTCCTTACCCTCTCATTTCTCGTCCATATGATCGAAGTATCCTTATCAATTCTATCTTTATTCATAAACAAAATTCATAGACCAGGAGATATTTAAAAACAAATTAATCAAAGATAATCAATTGCATAATGAAACTGACGTTCATAGAAAATATTTCTATAAAATATACTTTTTCTAACAACATGAAATCACTGCATGATATTTGAGATGAAATATAACAGTTTATCTATGTATTAGCCAAACGTGCAGATAAGAATTGATGGAATCATGTATCTTGATAAATGATACCACATTTTATTGCAGTAAAAGCAAATGTAGAAGAAAAACACGTTTATTGTATCTAACTTCATTTATTCAACCCAATAAATAAAAACATTAATCCTTCAAATCTATTTCTCTCCAACACTTTCTTTTCTACCGTATTTAGCTAGAAGTATGGACATCTAAAAGTCATTTAGAAAGTTCTCAAATTAGATCTCGATCTTCTCACTAACATCATAATATCTGCCCTGACCAACTACTCTCTCCAATATAATGAAAGCAATTGTTCAGAAGAGAAGAGTTCTATTAGAGGTCTATAAGTGCTATCTACTCTTCACTCATGTAAATGTGATGAAAGATCTTCGTTATAATGTGTTATACCGAGTTGGAAAGAAGGAAGAGTCGAGATTTGCATCCAATATAGTTGAATATTCGTTTTAGATGATGTTGAAAAAAATGTTAAAATACATATTATTATTAGATACGTTAATAAAAGTAAGTGGATTATTTCGCTTATATAATACAGATGTATTATATAGAAATGATTATAAAGATTGTTTATATTCTAATACAATGAATAGTGAAATAAATGAATGGATATTAATTCGTTATTGTATTGATGGAAATGAGTTTGGAAATGAGTTTGAATGTTACGGAAATGTTGAATTAACATTTGAAGAATTGAAATTAAAAAATATCTCAGGTGAAAATCTATTTCAATGGAATGCACCCATTGATACAATTAATAATTATGAAAAATATTTAATTGAAAATGATTTTTCAATGAAAAATAATTTCTATTGTAATTGTTCAAGTTCGTATTGAGATTTTTCTGCAAAAAAATCAAATTAATAAATTTTATTTAGAAATTTTTTTTGGAAAAGATTGTTCATATTCATTTGATAAAGTTTCTCCTAAAACAACATTTCATGAAATTATTACAAATAAATTTGATAAAAAAAAATCATTAACAAATGTATTTGAAATAGTAAATGATGGATATTTATTGACATGTTATGAAGGTATTGGGTGTGGGTGTGGGTGGGTGTGGGTGTGGGTGTGGGTGTGGGTGTGGCTGTGACTGTGGATGGGTGTGGATGTTGTAACCGCTATCAATACCCACACCCACACACACCTACACCCACACCCAAGCCCCACACCCACACCCACACCTACCACACACCCACACCCACACCCACACCCACACCCACACCCACACCCACACCCACCCACACCCACCCACACCCTTGATGCATCTTCATGTCCTCTTTTCAATGGCGAAAATTTCAGTTCTCTATCTTGTTTCTATCACACATGCGAACGAACCAGATCTTATCGAAATTTTATTATGATATTAGTTGAATAGTGATGAAATAGCGTAGAAAAATAGAATATCATTTTCTCTATCACTAGATTAAAAAAAAGAAAATTTCGTCAAGCTTTCTATACGGAAATAAGATAATGACGACGGTACTTTTGTATTGCCTTAAGTAGAATTTGTCTAAAATTAATATATGAAGAGAAAACACAAGGTAAATGTGACCTGATATGAGCTAAATCTAATTCATTGTTGATGCATTTAATTTTAGCATTGACACTGATCTGTTGACTATTCATTGTCCTCTTCAATGTCAAAACCTGCTTTCAAAGGTTCACTCTATTATAATATCGATTTTGTCAGATAGATTCCAATTAATTCAATATATTCACAAAATTCCAATGAAATAATAAATCAGACAAATATTAAATGACGACTGATATTAACTTTTTTTATTGAAATAAATGTATGGCGAAAGAAAACGAGTATTATTAAAGGTATAAGTCTAACTAGAATGTCCTTACTGTTGCTTATATTCCATACAACTGAAAAAAATCTCAACTAATATATATTGATTATTGTTCGATATAATATTAATCAATCAAAAAGTGTGTTCGTCATGTTCTTTGCGTGGTGCCATCTGTTGCTGTTCAGTTCGTGTCTTGAATGTAGCTGTTGGTCCAATGAGATTTTGCGCATTACGACTAATCCATGGTATGATCAAATTATTTCTTCGTAAATGTTGTCGCGCGCCAGGCAAACCAACAAGAGAAATAAATGGTGAAGCAAGTGGACATATGTAAAGACAATAATTTATTATAAGCATTGTCACATCTTGTAAAAATAAATAATCATAAAACAGACGAATGAGTGATATAATGACAAATGGTATCCAAATGATAAAATATAACATTGAAATAGATACAAGTTGTATATACATCAAACGATATTTTCGCCATGTATTTGCTAATTTCATTGCTCGTTTTTTATATGTAAAACGTAATAAAAGAATGATATTAGCCAATATTATAAACATAGTAGGAGTAACTACATTAATTAGATAATCTATAGTGCCTACAATTGCTTCATATTGATAACAAGCACCTCCACAAACATATGCATCATAATAATAAACATTTTCACACGGATAGGTATTGACTATCACATTATAAAATGTTAATGGATAAATAAAACAAATGAGAATTATGGGATAATGAATGATAAAACGCCATTTAATTACATATCGTTCATGAAAAATAAGAAAGTATCTTTCAATAGATCCAAATGCCATAAGAAACAAACCAGCAACATATAAACCATAATTATAAGCTACCCAAAATGAACAAAACTGGTTACTTTCAGGTTTAACATAACCTTGATAAGAATAAAGCAATGAAATAGGTAATTCAGTAGTAATAAGAATGAAATTACAAACAAGAAGTACAAGAATTACATGATGTTGAAGTTGTTTGGAATTAATTTCTCGATTTTTCACCAAATAGAAGAAAACAAGTAGAAAACAAACAAATGATGGAATTAAAAAACTGATTAAAAGTATGAAACGTATCAAACGATATATGTATGCATCCATAGTGCTGGAATATGATAAAATGAAGCGTCTTGTTTTAGATTCTGTGCCCATATTTTGATATTACCTCCCGCTGATCTTTCTTTCCTCCTTCCTCTTTCCTCTTTCTTCCTTATCTTGTCTCTATTATTCTTTCTTGTGCTCATCTCTCTCTCTCTCTCTCTCTCTCTTCCTCTCTCCTATATAAGTGTGTGTTTTATGTGAAGTAGTTAAATAAACATCATTACCGAGGATGGCGGTAAGCTACTCCATTCAGTTTGTCGTTACAGCAATGAGGTCGTTACACCAAATTCACTCAAATTTCTCAACTTTAAAGATATATAGTTCATTTATGAGGTAATGAAGTCGTTACACCAAATTCACTAAAATTCCTCAACTTTAAGAGTATATAGTTCGTTTATGGGGTAATGAGATCGTTACACCAAATTCACTAAAATTCCTCTACTTTAAGAATATATAGGTCATTTGTGGGGTAATGAAGTCATTACTCCTTGGCGAAAGTTGTGTCGTGAAACTAAATTCACTTTAATTGATTACTCTGTGGGGTATTCTGACGTTTAGCTCTCGATACACAGTGTAATTGTATTATGGCATCTATGGTTGAAGATCTTAATGAAACTAAAAGTAAAATTAGATTCACTTGTGAATATAAAAGAAATAATACCATTAACATTCTTGATACGACATGGTAAAAAAACCTATGATAATACGATTAGTATCGAATGATATAGAGAACACACAGCATCCAATAGATTATTGAATTACTATCCAGATCATGAACAATGTATTAAAATTAATATTAGTAAAAATATAGCATTCTACATAATCGAGAGAACAAATTATAATATTAACCAATATGAGGATTTGAATAAACAAAAAACAAGTCTTATAAAGTTGAACTACCTAACACATACCAATGATAAACATATTAAAGAAGCCATGAAATCAATTAAAACTACAACAAATGAAATGAAACAGAAAGGAAAAATGATAAAATAAACGAAATAAAATACCAAATTACAGTATCATTTGTACATGGAATAGGAATACTAAAATGGAAATTAGAACAATCAATAATTAAAATATCTCTCTCCTAGCCTAATAGGTCCTAAACAGCACTTACGAACCTAATTAAACAAAAATCCAGCTCGAATATTTATCAAGTAACATGTTAGTGTGAAGCAATTTATAACGAAGAAACAAAACTTAGTTTAAATAAACGAATATGACAAAACAAACAAATAATTAAAAACAATGACATTAAATCAAATTCGAAGATTGTACAAAATCATGAAGATAATACATATCAATGTATGTTTGATTTGAATAAAGCATTTATCATTGACCATGAGATTGATGGGGGAAAATGACGAATCAAAGAATTGATTTCTTTCACTATTAACAAGCCGATAAATCGTCGCGATAACATTAATGTTCCATGGGTCCCTCAACTGTACGAAGGATCTACAATAATAAAAATAACCATAGAAACGAGAGGGAAAAGAAATTTATTCATCATTAGAATGCAAAATGATGATACTGGGACGGATGCAAAAGGCAAGTAGTACGTATCTCCGACCACTTTCACTAAAATGCTGTGTGACGGTATCCTCCCATTTGCGAACATAAAGTCGAAGGTATCCTCTCATTTGCGAACATAAAGTCGAAAACTCAAAGTTTCTTAAATTAAATTATACTTCATTTTTTAATTAATTTGAATTTTTCAGATTCAAAGCGATCGAAAGTGTTAAATTTTCGATTTTGAATTTGTTAAAACTCATTTCTTAAAAAGAACTCCGAAAATCAAAATCGTTTGCTTTTATCATTTACAATTTTTACTGAAACGAATTTTAACAGCCATTTTGTTTTAAGAATTAAAATTTGTCGAGTTCGCTCTTGTTTTCTACGCTATTTCTATATTTGTTTTTAGGAAGATGTAGAGCTCACTAGTACTTTCAATACAATTTTATATTTAGTTTAGGAAGATGTAGAGTTCGCTCTTGTTTTCTATGTAATTTCCATATTTTAGTTTAGGAAGATGGAGAGCTCACTAGTGCATTCAATAAATCTTGTCTTTAGTTTTGGAAGATGTAGAGTTCGCTCTTGTTTTCTATGTAATTTCCATATTTTAGGTTAGGAAGATGTAGGCTTCGCTGTTATTTTCTCTGCAATTTCTATATTTCAGTTTAGGAAGATGTAGAGTTCGCTTGATATATGCTTGCAGGGTTTCAATGTATTCAGCTCTTATTAGTAAAGTGCGCTAAACTACGCAGTTCTCTTCTTCTTCTAAACTAAGTGTCATATTTAGAGTTCATAGGACCGAATTACCAATATGTACGTCATAAGCCTATTTTGTATTGGAACTCCATTTAGTTTCTATAATCACATAAAATCAACAGTCCATTGAACAGAAATTAATTGAAACCGAACAAAATAATTATTCAACAACGAAAACTGTGGAAAAAATGTAAACGGTACAAGATTAAGGTGTTGGTATTCGAGTTCTCTTCAAACTAGCGTCCACCGAGGTCACACTTTGAATGGATATTGAATCATGTTTGGGGCACATTAGAGAAACAATTCAAAATCTCCCTTTGATCTTCATCAAAACTTTCTTTTTTTTTCGCCCCTTGCTCGAGCTATATTAGAGTTTGTTTTTTAATATGAAAATTAAGTAAATTACCTTTCTAGAAGCGTTCCTGATTAAGATAAAGATTCATAGTACATAAACTAAATCTATGATCTTGCTACGTTCCAAAAAAGGTTTTATAAAAAAAAAGTCACATGATCAACCTATTTCAGTGACCTAGTTTAAAATACGACAAGATTTCATTGGCATTTTTTAAAACAATTTATTCGACACTACATCCCACTTATAAAATCTTCTTTTTGATGAAGTAGCAAAATTTATAGTTAATCCAGAGTTGATAAAGCTTTCTGAATCAAATCGCTAGAAATGTGAAACTAATTTCGTTTTGCTGCAGTGTTCTTACACTAACCTTTCAAAATAAGAAGTGACACTTTCAGATCGCATTCACTTAGCTTCAAACAGACTACACGCGACACTTCTAAATCTTTTTTACATTCAGTTAGATTTATGCTAAACATTCTAGCGAACTCTACATCTTCCTAAACTAAATATAAAATTGTATTGAAAGCACTAGCGAACTCTACATCTTCCTCAACTGAAATATAGAAATTGCATAGAACACAGCAGCGAACTCTACATCTTCCTATATCTATAGATAGAAATTGCATTGAAAACAGCAGGGAACTCTACATCTTCCTAAATTGAGACATAGAAATTACATAGAACACAGCAGGGAACTCTACATCTTCCTAAATTGAGAAATAGAGATTACATAGAACACAGCAGGGAACTCTACATCTTCCTAAATTGAGAAATAGAAATTACATAGAACACAGCAGGGAACTCTACATCTTCCTCAATCTATAGATTGAAATTGCATTGAAAACAGCAGGGAACTCAACATCTTCCTAAATCTATAGATTGAAATTGCATTGTAAACAGCAGGGAACTCTACATCTTCCTAAATTGAGAAATAGAAATACATAGAACACAGCAGGGAACTCTACATCTTCCTATATCTATAGATAGAAATTGCATTGAAAACAGCAGGGAACTCTACATCTTCCTA